CCCCCGCACGAGGCTCGAGACACCCGCTCATGGCATGGCCGGTAAGAGCCGGGCTCCCGCAAAACCTTTGCTAGGAGGGAGCCCTCGTTTTCTGCAGAAACAGGTTGGAACCCGTGGAAAAAAGAGAAAAACAGAAAAACAAGCAAAAAGGAAAAAAAGAAAAGGGTTCCAACCATGTTCACAAAGAAAATCGAGCACCTTGAGTTAATGTGAGTCCATGATCTTTTGTTTGTGAGAGTCTCTTCATCCACGATTCATTTGTCCTCTGTTCACTATTTGCCATGATACCGATTCGAGACTAGCGTTCTCGCCGAAGAAGCTATGAGATGACTTGTGCGTCGGTTGACCTCGTAAGTTGCTAAATGATCTAGGAAGTCCTCTACCTACGATCGAGGTTGTTTGTTGCTATAGAGGTTGGAGAGTTGCATTGGTTTGAGTTAGGTTTGCTTGGGGACAAGCAAACGGTTAAGTGTGGGGGAGTTTGATAGACCGATAATTACACATGTTTTCACCCCTATTCTGAAGCCGTTTGTGATGTGGAATCTCGTGTTTTAAGCCGATTTCACGCTAGGTTGTGTGTTTATGTCATATTTCAGGACCCGGCGTTGGAATCGAGGCGGAGAAACGAGTTCTGGGTCGAAAGGAGCCGAGTTGGGACTAAGGGGGCTGCACAGGAAAATACCCGGTCGGATGGCAAAATACCCGACCGGGTATTTATCGTTTTTGGCACCCGTGAGAAGCAGAAGGGGGCCCGGGCGATGGCCTTAAATCCCCGGTCGGGGATTTTGATGTTGGACCGGGGATTTTCCCCAAAGTGGAACGTCGCGTTTTATGAAATACCCGGTCTAACCCTGAAATACCCGACCGGGTATTTCGACCGGGGATCGCGGACGCAGGCTGTTAAAAGCCTGTTTTGTGCGTTTTTGAGGGGGAGAGCTGGGTTTTGGATCCCAAAACACCCAAGGGACGAACCCTAGAGAGAGAGAGCGACTTGGGAACATTCTTGGAGCTATTTTGGAGGATTTCTTCGCCATTGGAGCTCGGGAATCAAGCCCGGACTTGAAGACTGATCATCTGAAGATTCTTACTGCAGTCTCTCTCTTCTCTATGGAGTAACTTCCCTTCACTTAGGTTTTGAGGAACCCTAGCCATGTTTGTTTGATTGGATGATTGTATGAGTACTCTGACTTGATAATCTTGAGTTCATATTCAATCTATGCATGTTTTCACGATTCAATTCTGCTTTAGTCGAGATTATTGATTCTGCTTTGATCCTATGAGAGCGAACACCTGATTAGGTCAATAGAGCACCATAGATTGATAGTAGTGGATCAATTGCTTTAGTCGAGGGTTGATTCACTGCTTTGTATCGATTGAGAACCTCATTCGATAGAGGGAGTCTAGTTCAGAACGCCTTGATCGGTTGTTCTAGAGAAGGATACGTCCCTCTAGGCAATTGACTCAAGAGGGCCTTGTTCCTTTAGTCGAGACTCAAGGTCTAGTCAAGGATTCTCCGCATTGTGAATGAAAGTGAAACAAGTTAGAGATCATCAGTCGTTAATCTGGCTAGTGGCTAGGGGGAATCATACCTAAGTGAGTTCCCAACCTGTAATTAGATTAACTTTAACTGTAGTTTGCTAGAGTAGTTTTAGTTCTTTCAACTTAATCTGTTTTGCTAGATAACGAACTGAAGCTGAGTAATAGTAACTCTAGAGACCCGTGGATTCGATATTTATTACTTGAGCCACTATACTGCAGTCCCTTTCATTGGTTACACTTGGCCATTGTTAGGTGTTGTGTTTTAGCGAGTCAGCTAGTGGCCTTGAATTGAAAAGAGGGGTTTTAGTCGAAACCATAGAACCTTCAGGTTTAGGTTGAAGATGTAGAACCTCACGTCATGATTACCACCACCCAAAAAGTCTTTATCCCATGTCCAAGATAATTGCCAGTCATCTGAACCCGTGTCTAAGACCTCCGGACGAGCTAGTGGTGACAACCATCCCGTGAACTCTAGCATCTAGAGGTTACCGCCGTGGTATTGAGACGATAGGGCTAAGAGTTTATGATTGTGCACATCTTTTGCACTAAAAAGGTCCCGACCCCACTGGTCTTGAGAGTGAATGATTCATTCTTGTTTTGAATGCCATATCATACCCCGGTGAGGACCTTTGTTGCCTTTCCATTTGTTCCTCTGACTTGAATTCCATGAATGGTCGGTTGTGGTTGATAAGTGGTCTTGTTGCGACTTGCATTGATCCATGAACAAGGTGAGAACTTTTCGTTTGCCCATTTTTGGTGGCTTCAAATGTCGTTTGTGGTGGATGTCGGTATTGCTTGCAACGGTCCATGGATTGATTGCCAATAGCCATTGAGAATTCTCACTTTGTGCTCTTTGAGTTGTCCCCAAATTATTTGTGTAGGTTGAAATATTACCTTGTGTGAAATGGTTTGCTTGGGGACAAGCAAACGTCTAAATGTGGGGGAGTGATTCGGGCCTAATTGTACATGTTTTGCCCCCGTTTTACTTAGGTGTTTGTGTCAATTTCACTCCTAAAAGGTTGGTTTTATGCTAGGTTCCTCGTGTTTTAGTGTGTTTCAGGATTCAATAGGTAAAACCAGCCTCAGAGTCGAAAGTTGGGCGAAAAGGATCGAAAACCGGGAGAAGAGGTGAAAAAGGGCAAGTTCACGGCTTTCCCAGGAAGTTCACGGTCATGCAAGATCGTGAAGAGGAGACCTTGACCGTGAATCACGACGCGTCTAGACCCAAAACGAAGGTTACTGACGCATGGTGAGTTCACGGTCTCTAAGACCGTGAACAGAAGTGAACGATGCGGCGCATTTTGGCGCACGCCTGAAGTTCACGGAGGCATTTCGTGGTTCACCGCCGTGAACTCAGGCCATGAACTCAGCTCATCTCTAGTTTAAATGATGAGCTGAAAGGAGGAGAGAGGGGAGAGCCCATTTTGTGAGAGAGGCCTTCTTCAGAATTCTAAAGAGAGAAACACGAACCAAAGGGAGAAGAAGGCTAGGGTTTTTCTTCAAGGCAGATTTTGGGAAGATTTCCTCCAAGAAAAGCTCAACTCAAGGGCCAAAAAGACTGGGAGCATCCTCCAAGATGGTTTCCACCTCTTTCCCTTTTGTTTTCCCCACTTCTAGCATGAAGTAGACCTCCTTTCACTTGGGTGTTGTCAAACCCTAACTCTACCATGTAGTTTTCTTTTATGTGTATTGGATGATTGTCATTTGGGTATTGTTCAATTCAATGATTGAGGCATTATTTATCATGATTATGCATTCTTGTGGTTAGCAACCTAAGAGTTGTGCATGCTTGTGCTTAGCAACCTAAGAGTTGTGCATGTTTTGTGCTTAGCATCCTTAGGATTGTGCATTTAGGTGCTTAGCAACCTAAGGATTGTGCATAATTGTGCTTATCACCCCTAGGTTTGTGCATGTTGGTGCTAGCAATCTAATTAGCCACCTTAGCCTAGCTTAGAGAGGAAAATCCCCCTTCCAAGGGAGACTCAATCGAGTTGGTTTTCCTTCCGCTTTCTAAGCCACCTAACTAGGTTAAGTTAGGGCAACCCTCAATGTTGACTTAAGCAAATCGGTTAATTGCGGTTAAACCGTCCGACCTTTGAGTTTAGTGAGGGAGTAAGTCAATTATCGATTGTCTAAACCGAGAGGGTTGAGTGACACGGCCTTCCATTCTTACCTCGGTTTAGCAATTGAGATTGTGGTCTCCGACCATGTATGCATCCTCTGCGGTTCGCGATTACCGTGCCCAAAGCAATCGTTCCAATTCACATATCATGGTAGCAGTTAGAGGGAAGCGACACCCGAGTGATCCTTCCACAAAAGAGTTTCCAAAACCATTTACCTTTGCTTTGTTTTGTTATAATTAGCAAACTTTCAAACAAAAACTTTGTAGCTAGATAATGATTTCAACAACCGAAGTAGGGGTAGACGGACCGGCCCGGGTTGATATCTAAAAACTTGCTCTATACTACACCCGGCTAGAGTTTTAAAACTTGGACTATAGTCGGGATTTTATTGTGGTGTAGTTTCGTGCGAGCACTTCCATTTTCGTTTAGTTGTGGTAAAAGAAAGAAAAAAATCCCCTATTCACCGACGGTGGGTGGGACTGGAGCGTGAACCGTGGAGCTGCCATTTCCAGGAAGAAGAAGCTTCTTCTTCGGGTGGAAGAGAGATGAAGATAAATCTACTGTATTGACATAATTTGTTGTGTCCTTTTCTTAACAAGAAAGGAGAATAAACAATTACCGAAAAAATTGGAAAGGAGCACAAAGTAATTGGCTTCTCGGTAATTGTTTGGTTTAGGAAGGAATAAGAATGTCAATTTAGTACATTTTAGGGCGATAAAATTTGAAATTTAGGGAGATAAATAGCGATTCAGTAAATTTATCCGATAATATAAAGATTTCTGAAAAAAGAAAACAATGTGGTAATAGCGACACTAACTGCTTGCGCCGCCAGCAAACCGATGAATGTGCAGGCGCACGGATCTGATACAAAGCAGAGGCAAATTTAGAGACGAAAATTGTGACGGCAACCGCCGGATTCCTAAACTTACGAATTTCTTCCTTAACCCACCACAGTCCCCCGATTAAATTTCTACTGAACACCTCCCATCTTCAACTTCTCTGAATGCCCGCCGGAATTCCATCCCCCTGATTCTCGAAACCCTAGTTCCTGCGTTCTTTGATCTTCTGAGCTCTTTCGTAAGGTACCGCCTTTCTATTCTGGTTTTCAGCTTCTCTTTCGCTTGGATGCCATTTGTTTACCGGTTCATCTCTGGAGTCCTGTTCGATTTCTGCTTCGGGTCGTTAAAGAGATGATTGAGCTTGGCTCGAGTTACCAGAGGGAGAGGTGCATTTTTTTTTAAATGTTTGATCTTTCTGTATGGTTTTGTGACAGGTGAAAGAGCAAAGGACAGAAGGAACTAAGAGGAAGGCACTTCTTGAGTTCTCTTGTTTGCAGTGATGAAAACTCGTCGGAAGCGTGCAGCCCCAAAGGCGAAGGCCAAGAGTGTGCAGAAGAAGAAAGCTCCTGCTGCAGCTCCTCCAATTCCAGTCCCCGCTTCTCCAGAAGATCGTACTGGCATAGAGACTCTTGCTGCGGCCACAGAGGCTTTTGCTGCTGCCGCTGCTCCACCCCCTCCGACTGCTTCTGGGGGACTTAACGCTACTAAGAAGGCATTCTTGAACCTTGTCGGCCAGATTGCCCAAGAAAGCATTCGACCGGAGAAAACTAGTGATGTCGGCCACCATGGAATTCGTTCTCGCAATCGTTTTAGTTCATCTCCTTCTTCATCATCAAGTGGAGATGACAACTCTTTCCGTGTTCATGGTGGTAATAGTGGCATGGTGGAGCAAGGGATTGACTGGAGGGGTGATATGTCAGGGCGCAAGCGCGGTGGACCTACAAAAGGTGATGCCGTGCATATTGGTAGTAGTTTGCAGGTTACATCATTGAGTGGGTTGCATCCTTGGAGCAGTAAAGACAGAAGATCGAAAAAGTCATGCCATGATCCCCGATACAATGACAAAGAACTAAATATTTGCTTAGGAGTATGTCGATTCCTTAAACGATTTTTTTATTCTCCATGGCATTTTCTTCTTCGCATAGTATAATGAACAGAATATGGAAGTTTTCCATTATTTGTTCATGATGCGTCTAGATTGAAGAATACTTGACTTTTTTTTGGGGTTTGGTTTAGGTGATTAAGAAGATCATGGATATGGATGAAGCTGCATCATTTAGCGCTCCTGTTGACCCTGTTCCCTTGGGATTTGCTGTAAGTATTAGTTGTTTTCTTACTTTGTAAGTCTGGAAGAACAAGCAAATCCATCACAACCTAATAACTGTGTGCACTTTCAATGCTTGGAATGGTGGTTTGAGATGGATGTTTGTGATCATGTGCAGAATCGTATTGATATACCTATGGATTTTGGAACAATATGTAGCAATCTTCAGAATGGTTTCAAGTACCTAAATTCTGATGATGTATACAAGGACGTCGAATGCATTTGGGCACATTGTTTGAAGTATAACAAGAAAGGTGATTATATTGTGTACCTTATGAAGAGAGTGAAGAAAAAGTTTCTGAAATACTGGACATCAGCCGGCCTGCGTACTGAAATGCAAAAGCCTACTGGTACGTTTTCACTCTATAGGTGCTTTTCTTAGCAACTTAGGTTGGTTTGATGGTCACTTTATGTTAGAAGTCTCTTTGAGTGTCTTCTCTGTCATATTCATGGAAATGGTTTTGGCCCACAGCCTTACATGCTATTCTTCCTTTTCCAGTGTTACAGTTTTTAATGATTCGGCAAATGGCCTTTGGAGCTGCATAAAGTTTTCGTGGCCTTTCTGTTTTTTAATTTCTTTCATTATCATGGTGCCAATGTTAGAAGTATTGCTTATTCAATTTAAATGTGTAGGGCAACATGAGTTTTTGACTAGTAATGGTCACATGATGGGTCACGTCAGTATCAGCCCATCAAGCTATGATCACCGGGCTCAGGTCAAACCATCAAGCTATAGTCACCATGCCCAGGTGCCTCCTTCAAGCTATAATCAGCATATGCCTCCATCAAGCTATAGTTACCGGACTCAGGTGCCTCCATCAAGCTACGACCACCACTCTCAGGTGCCTCCATCAATCTACGACCACCACTCTCAGTCTCAGGTGCATCCATCAAGTTACAGCCAGCAGGCTCATGTGCCTCCATCAAGCTATCGTCACCTGGCTCACATCCGTCCATCAAGCTACAGTCACCAGGCTGAGTTGCCTCCATCAAGCTACAGCCACCAGGCTGAGTTCCCTCCATCAAGCTACAACCACCAGACTGAGGTGCCTCCATCCAGCTACAACCACCAGTCACCAGCTCACCGTCCATCAGGCTACAGCCACCAGTCACTAGCTCAGGTGCATCCATCAGGCTACAGTCACCAGGCTCAGGGGACTCCATCAAGCTTCAACCACCATGTTCAGGTGCCTCCATCAAGCTTAAACCAAAAGACTCATGTGCCTCCATCAAATTATGATAACCAGGCTGAGGTGCCTCCATCAAGCTCCAACCACCAGGCTCGGGTGCCTACATCAAGCTACAGCCACGAGGTTCAGGAGCTTCCATCAAGCTACAACCACCACTCTCAGCTGCATCTATCAAGCTACCGTGAGCAGGCTCAGGTGCCTCCATCAAGCTACAATCACCATTCTCAGTTGCCTCAACTTCAGCCAACCACCAATGACTCACCAAAATTACCAGAGCTGCAACCTAGAACCAATGCAGAGGATGCAGGTATATACTTTGATTGGTTATTGGGGGTACTTAATTAATAGTGAGGCTATCTTTGCTTGGTGATCATCTCCGGAGATTGATAACAACTCAGCTACAGATGCTCCCTTAGATTCTCTAAGTGCAGGAGAGGGTGAAGATAAGTGTTCTAGTTGAAACCCTGAAGTTTAAGAGGACTTGTTTAGTTTGGGGCATCGGCTCATAGGCATCCCTATGTTGTACTCACAAAAGCACTTATTGAAGCTTGTTTCTATTTTCCGTTTGTACACAAGTGGCCTACTATTTTGTGGCTTTTGGTCTTGCAGGATCTCTGGATTCACCCTTTGTGGACTCTGTTAGGAAGCGAAAGAAAGATTCAGCTCGGGATCCTATCATGGCTAAGTCAAGCCATTCTAAGCATCAACCAAAGTCAACCCTACATTATCTGAGACGTCGCGATAAAAGTCCTAGTAAGCGACAGCAATCTATGTCTCTTGTTCAAGAGAATGACGTTGCAAGTATGTGCATTTGAACCCTTTGGGTTCTTATGATGACTGAGATGTAAGGCCTATGTCTGCATTGCACTTATAAGTAGTTCTATTTCCATTTATTATGTAGGACCTCCAGATGAGCTGCTTGGTAGGAGTGATTTGGGGCAAAATGGACTTGCGTCCACAGATGCAGTTATCCCCATAGAGACTAACCAGAGCCAACTTCAACCACAACAACCTCCGGTTGGTTATAGTCATGAACATGTGTCACAGATACCCAACGGAAATATTGGACAGCCACAGCACTCTGAGTGGTTTGCTTCTGCTTCACATGCAGGAGGTATTATGCTTCTCATGCTGTTTGGTAGGCATGAAGTTGTTGAATTTTAAGGAATTGCATATCTCAGTAACCTCTGAACCATTCCTTCTGGTCTGAAACTTTCGATGAACTGCTTAGGGTCTGCTGTTCATTCAGTTTATAATGGCTGTGTTTGATTAAAATAGTGAATTTTTCGAGTTTTAGTATAGGCGAAGAAAATGTGTTTGGTTAGGTTCTAGAAAAAAATAAAGTTGATGTGACGAGACTGTTATTTTAGTAATTAATAAGATCGTAGATATTTTTTTGATAATATAGGAATGAGTGAGTTTCTATAAATGACTATTATGGGCAAAACTTTAAAAATACATTCTTATTTCAAAGATGCATAGTTGGAATTTGGCACTTCAGGTAAGGTGGCTTTTAGATTTTATAGTTTGTCGGGTCCAACATGAATATTGGTTTTGAAAACGTAGATTGAATGAATGTGTTTGTTTGAGCTTTTATAAGTCCAGTTCTTTTGTAGTTTTCTTCGGCTGAAACAAACAGGCCCAATATTATGATTAGTTTGAAACTGTCTTGTGTGATTGTTATTCAGTTGTCTAAGTGATCAACTCGTGCTTGTTAGATGTGAATGGCTTGGTGAGAGACGGGAGACAGGATGAAGGGTGTTCTAATAATTGTCCGTTGGAAACTGCAACCTCCTCCTTCCAGCAATCCCCATCCCAGCACTATGAAGACCACAGCAGCCCAGGCAGTCTGAAACAGGCTGTACCTAGGTTAGGGAAGCGAAAACGGGATCTGCCATATCGTCGTGCTGCATGGGATACCCCTGACGGTAGCAAAATGGTTGTTCCCCTCAATGATTTGGGACAAGCATTTGGCCCTGAAGGAAGAAAATTGGCTTCCTTTCTGGGAACCTTGGTACGGGATGGTAACTTGGCTCCTGTTACCCTCGTGCACTGGTCTAGAGTGCCAAAGGAGAACAAAGAAACCATGTGGCTGATGGTTCAGGTAACTTAAAACTCCTAGGTATAGGTAAATTAATAAGACGGAAATGAGTGGCTTGATATATATAGAGGCTTGATATATAAAGGGTGAGGAGCATCCCCTAAGGTGTACAATCCATGTTCTCCTTGATTTCTTTCTTTATTTGTTTCTTTCACTGAATTCCTCCTTCTATCTGTGTAATTCAAAAGGCAAAGTTTGAGATTGATCCAGTACTGGGGAAATCATGGGTGATGAAGTCTCTTTCTACGAAATGGAGGAACTGGAAAGCAGCGTTGAAGGCAGATTATTTCTCATACAAGACTGATGAGGAGCGTATGAGGAATCTTGACAAGAGAGTGCTTCCCGATCAATGGCCAGTTCTCATATCCTATTGGAACAAGGAAGAAGTACAGGTATGTCCTGCGGGTAGAAACATTTATCAGTTCTAAACTTAAGGGTGTCTTGTTGGTATCTGGAGGCTGAAATATCATGTTTCTTTTTGTAGTTGTATGCTGCTAGGCAGAAGGCCAATCGTGCTAATCTTAAAGGTGGACACACCTCTGGTTCAAAGAGTTATGCGACCTTAAGAGAGGAAGAGGTAGCAACTTACTGAAATTAAAATCGCACACCTCATTCCACATTCAGATAATAGTGGTTTATGGTCTTTTGTGTGGGTAAAATGTGAGCAGCGTGCGAAAAGGGCTGATGGGAAAGCCCCTACTAGGGCAGAGTTGTATGTGCTGACCCATACACGAAAGGATGGAAATCCTGTCAGTGAAAAGGCCGCAGAAGTAATTGTATGTCCTAAGTTCAGTGCTGTTAATAGATTTGTGGTATTAATTATTATGATCTATTACAGCATCAAGACTTGGTGATTTCTTTTTTGGTCTCAGGCAAAATTGCAGGAAAAAGCTTCTGAGAAGCAACAGGAATCAGAAGCCAGTGATAGCTCTCGTGACACATTCTGTGAAGTAATGGGTGAAGAAAAGAACAGCCATGTGCGCATGTGTGGTCTGGGACCTACCCCTAACACTCTATTTGGCCGGAAGTGTGGCCATATCCAGTTTGCAAAGATGGCCATGGATGCCAAGAAGCAAGCAGACGATGAAGCAAACAAGGTTTATCAAAAAGTGGAGGTAATTGAGCAAAAGTACAATTGCATGGAAGCTCAGATTGCTAGGATGAACGCGAACATGGAGCTTATGCTCGGGAAGATGGGTGTACCACCTGTAACGTCAATATCGGCACACTCAGACCAGGTAAATATAAGTTCGATTGGTTTCATCAAACTCCTTCTGTGGACATACTCTGAACATGGCTCGAAAGACGCAAAAGATATGTTATTAGCTTATTCAAGCATAAGAAGGTCATTGTATCATTCTTGTTGGTAGGTTGACAAGCACACAGCTGCTCGGCAGAATCCACATCAGGCAGAAAAACCGTCATCAGCATCATCATCGAGTCATGGAGCTGATCAGGTCCTAATATCTTGTTCCTGAGTTTCCACTTCGGCTTAAATTCTACCCTTTTAAAAAAATTTTACGCATAGCCTTTTTTCTGTGGATCTTACAAGTTGAACTGCATGGGTGTGTGCTCTCTAGTCTCTAGACTCTTAAGCATCATATAATTTCACAGTATCTAAGCCCACTTGGACGAAAATCAGCTGTTGCTGCTACCAATATTTCTCCTATGCTTCCTTAGTTTGGAAATTGTTTGCAATGCAGGTCATTCACAGACAGGCAAATTCTAGTAGGAGCCAGTACCGAGTACCGGCTTCTTTGTAATGATGCAGTGATCTACTGCACCACTATCTATTGACTGATTGAGACTGACTGTATTTCGTGTTATTGCTAGGCTCGGTGGGATCTCCCCAAGGTTTGGGAAATGTAAACTGGTGGAAGCCCCAGACGAAGGTTTGGACGCAGTTGCCTCCACTGGTAATTGATTGTTTATTCAAAGGAACTGGTACACCTGATTCAAGTAGTTAGTTTGTACCGCAAGTTACGCGTGGCGGATCTATGTAAAGTAATCGTTTATGTAGTTTTGGGATAGAAGGTAGAAGAGGAAATTGTGTTTGTCAATGTAGGATCCAAGCCCCATGGTACTTTGCTGCCAAGTGAGATAGAGCCAACCATTGCAGGGAAACATGGAAAGGCATTCTGTTTATACTTGAGAGCGAAGTTGTGATTTCAAATGGTGTATTGATCTAATTCATGTATTTGTGAGATTAAGTCGTTTTTTTTATATAGAACTAGAATACATGCATTTATTATTTGGAGGCCCAACACAATCACTCACTATTGAGGGATTTACAATCACTCAATACTAACTTTTTTACTTTTGGAACAAAAACACAATCTAAACCTCCAAACAAAAACAAGATATTTACCTAATACATCAATTGATACAATCCATCAAATGATTGGAAATTGTGATTCTTTAAATTGATGAATTCTATAAATGTGTGCATTCTTAATTGAGGTTTTGCTTGAATGGTTGTATTTGAAAAATCTCTTGTTTGGAGGTGTAGATTGTGCTTTTCACATATCTAAAAAGATAATATATTTTTCGGTTTAAAGACATATTTGCCCTTCATTAAATCTTTTATCCATTGAGAGAGGAGTCATGGGCGAGACTAATGTTGGAATAAATATAAAGTAGAAGGGACAAAAGTGGAATAAAAAATAGACAAACAATCATTCGTTTACAATCTCAACTTTAGCTAGAGATTGTCAATCCTTCATTTTGAGGGATTAGAGGTGGGTCCTTAAAAAAGTAAATACATGTATTCTAACTAAATTTAAACCAAAAAAACGACTAAATCTCTACATTGCATGTATTGGCTAAATACACCACTTCAAATCACAACCTCCAAACGATCCCCAATTGTCCCAATACATCAATTCGAAGGATCACAACTTCCAAACAACCCCTAATTTGTTTGCTTTTGGTGGTTGATTTTGCATCTTCCTACTTCATGGTACTCTTACTCAGTGTAGTCAAAAGCGCGATTCTACGTAAAAGCGTTTTGGTGATCTACAATCGTAAAATCGTAAGTTTTTAAGTTTTAAAGCGCAACTTTTAACTACATTAGTTACAAAAACTGAAATTATGTGTAGAAGCGTTTTGGTGACCTGAAAACGTAAACTGTAAGTTTTTAAGGTTTAAAGCGCGTTTTTACTACATTGCTTTTACTCCGTGTTAGTTTTCTCATATCTAATAGAGCACACAATACTATATAGTGAAAACATGTGTGTGAGTGTTTGTAAGCCATTCCCTTTGAGCCTATCTAAATGCTCAAGGTTTAGGCGATTTGACATTCAGGTACTTCATTTTTTGGTAATTTTTGGAGACTTGCGGTTTAATTATTCTAATAATATTGTGACAAACATGTGTTTAGTGTTTACGTTACTCTTCTTGGCTGATGCTCTAACAAACACGAACCCTAAACCTACCAAATAAAAAAGGCAAATAAATACACATTTACAGTCTAGGGCAATTTCTTCCAATTAGAAGTTAGAACCACAAGACATCCTCTAGAAACAATGTTGAACCGTCTTCCCAAGTATTTATTAGAAAGAAGTTGCTTGGTTGATCAGACATTCAAACTATCATCACCTAATTGCTTCTGCCTCCTTTAGTGTTCTATATCAACATCAACTTTTGACTACACAGAAATTTGTTAGAGCATTTGAATCGTGTGAATCGTGTGCAAGTAAAACAAGAATTTGAATCGTGTGAATCTCTTGAGCAACTGAGGCGATCAAAGAGGATGACTTACAAGCTCTATTTGATGTATTAAAAGCGTTTTGTGTGCAATACCAGTCACCAAAACCAATTACTTGAGAATAAACAGCAAGCCTTTCCATTCAACACTACCCTTCCAACAAAAGCTTGGTACGGCTACAAAAGAATGGAGAGGAGAGAAGCTCTCACTAGCACATGTACAGTTCCTATCATTTATGTATACAAAAATTGGGGTTCATCATCTTCATTCTTTCACCTTGATCAACTCAAGTTTGAAGTGACAGAAATGAAAGTTTCTTCCCGGCAAGGAATTGTCAAGCCACCCATTGGATGATCAAAACCAAACTCCTCTTCCGCCATACTCAACAGGTCTTGAAAGGAAGGCTGGCTCAAATACGAAACTGGCACTACAAACCGCTTCCTCTGTGACTCGCCAACATATACTGCTAAGTAACCCTTTGGCACGTCTGGGAACCTCGACGATGATTTGCTGGAGCCACCGGAACCAGTCCGTCGAAGAATTTGCTTAGCAATGTTACCTGGCAACCCAATACCCATGATGCTCTCTTTAGCTTGGATTAACTCGTGGTGCTGGAAGAGCCGAAGAGAGAAGATCCCACTGAACAATTGGGAGACTTGCAATATTTTGTGGGTTGTGATTTGTGAATTGAACAACTACTATAACATCCTTTATATAGATTAAGTATTCCAGGCATCCCATCTACAACAAAGAACAACTAAACTAATATTTGGGACATAGTTCAGTCAAACTCACATGCTCTTGCCTTGCCAACGATGGGACAAAATGCGGTGGGGCCATTGGAGGGTACCCTACAGCTGAAAGACAGGCTATGGAGGGCCACACAATGCTCTATCTCTGCTGAACGTATGGTGAAGCTTACTGTCGAATTTAGGCTACCAGCAGCGGATTGGTGCAATTTAAGCAGTAATCAAATCCATGCCTTCCTTCCTATGTGATCGATGTTTTCACATGGACCTGTCTTATAACTACAGCACGCACATACGTGAAGGAGATGAGATGTATTTAGGGGCGGGCTACCATGTCCTACAACAACCACACAGAATTATACAACAGTATGGTATGGGGGACTTTCTTCCAGTTAGACTCCCTTAGAAAATTAGGGTCTCACTCATTTTCTCCTCCCAACATTTCCCAAGGCATGTCCCCTACACAAAACAGGACAGTAAGCTTCCCCACATAAGAGGTATCATTATGTAACCATTCATTGGTGATTTGGTCTAATCCCCTCCAATTGTAGGGCATATACCTTGTCAGGTCCCCTTACATATGCTCCATCAATCCAAGGCAGAAGCATGTGACATTCTTGAAACCATTGCTAAAACTCTCGTTTATATGACGGTTCTCATGAGCTCATTTCAGAACCAAAATCACCCCAAGTCTTTTGGAGATCTACCCCCTTCAGTTCACATCTTTTCTTCCCCGGAAACTCGAACCGAAACACACAAGTACCATGGCTATTGGCTTACCAGGTAACCTTGCTAAGCAGATTCTTCCAAGATATCCAGATGTGCCAAAGGGTTACTTTGCGGTTTATGTAGGAGAGACACATAATAAGAAGCGGTTCATGGTGCCAGTTTCGTACTTGAGGCAGCCTTCATTTCAGGACTTGCTGAACATGGCTGCAGAGGAATTTGGTTATGATCATCCAATGGGTGGCCTGACCATTCCCTGCCGTGAAGAAACTTTCATTTCTGCTACGTCAAACCTCAGTAGATCATAAGACCATATGAGGTGAAGCATTGAAGATGAAGAGTCACAATTTTGGATAGCTAAGCTAACTAGGATACTAGAAACGATACTTTTGTAAATATGGTAATAGAGCTGATTCTCTTGGATCTCTTCTGCATTTTCAGCTTCCCTTCTAATTGCCACCTCTGTAATGGATTCTTAAAGAAACTAAAATGTTCCTTCTCTGAAAATATAAGCATCAATCAGTGGCGACATGATACACATTTTAGTAACAACCACTTCGTCCCATAGTTAGTAGTGAGTTGCGATTTGCGACTGCCGAAATTCTAACACAAAAACTCTCTACCATCGAAAGTGCTAATAGTGCCACCATAAAAACCAGCTCATCTCAATGAGTCCTGTTGTTGGGAGAGACAACTCCAGATGTGACTCTTCTCACACCTGATGATCTAAACGTTATAAAAATTTCATCTCTACTTCACTAAGATGGAATACTAACTGTTTACCTTTTAACTAATCAGATATGGTAAATAGGTAATCAGTTAATTAAACTTCATATATGTTTCCCATCTTCTAATCGTATCGACGAATGTCTAAGTGAAAGTGATTGTTCTTTTGACATCCACCGAAGGTCTCACAGGGTATTCTGTGTGGCTGTTGTAGGACAGGGTACCCTTATTACATCCCATCTCTGTTACATATGCCCTGTAGTTAGAAGGCAGCTCCGTGTGAACATCGATCTCATTTTGTTTGAATTTGCTTGCTTCTCAACTGCCTCAATGAGCTGCTATGATGAATACGCAAGTTGGTTGTCTAAGCAATGTCTCCTACCTAAATTTGACACCAAGCTTCACCATAGATCAACAAGGATATGACATTATGTGGCCTTCCGTAGTCAGCCCTCCCAGCTGTAGGGTACCCTCCAATGCCCTCCCTACATTTTGTTCCATCCTAGGCAAGGCAAGAGCATGTGAGACTGCCTGAACTATGTCCCCAATATTGGCTTTGGTTTCTCTCAGTTGTAGATGGGTTGCCTGGAATACTTATATCTATATAAATGGTCTTATAGTATCTGCTCAATCCACAAATCTCAAGTTCACAACCAGCACAAACAAAGTACCCTAAGTCTTCCAATTGTTCAGTGAGATCATCTGTCTTGAGCTATTTCATCCAACGGCTCAAGCAACTCATCGATGTGCCAAAGGGTTACTTGGCAGTATATGTTGGGGAGTCGCAAAGGAAGGGATTTGTGGTACCGATTTCGTATTTGACCCACCCAACCTTCATTTCAGGATCTGTTGAGTATGGCCAGAGAGGAGTTTGGTTATGATCATCCAATGGGTGACGATTCCTTGCCGGGAAGAAACTTTCATATCTGTCACTTCAAACCTGAGTTGATCACAAAAACCTGCGATTTAAGGAATGGATATTATGAGCCACAATTTTTTTTTATAGATTTATGATAAGAGTTGTACATGTTCTAGTAATTTTAGTTGACAGACCCTGGCACCAAAATAATCCAACTCTCCCTTTTGGGAAGGGGTTTTGGCCAATTTGGCTCAAGTTACATCTCGGATTGAGCTTGGATCGGTCCATGTCCCGAGGAAACGAATTTAAACACCTTTTTAGCCCAATTTCATCCTCTTTCATAAGAAGTTGGCACAAGCTACTAATTAAGAAAGGCCTTACTCGTTTCTTGGTCGTTAAGTTAAGGATTGAAGTTGAGTAAGAAGAAGTATGAAATTTTATCCTAACATACTCGAAATTCACCATTTGCAACATCTTGTGTTCCACTCTTGGCGCTTCAGGTTTGATGGTTGAGGTCTGTTGAAGGACGTGGTATAGTATGTATCTCACGGATCATCAGTTTGACCACATCGACCTTCCTGTGCAAATTTTACGTTTATGTGTGTATATCATATAATCTTTTTAACTTCGTTTACTAGTTTTTTTGGTCCACACTATCAATAATCACATGAACACAAATACGAGATGAACACGAGACGCGAGATTTACGTGGTTTCCTCAACGATTGACTTTGAGACTAGTCCACGGCACAACGACAGATGATGATCTTGAATGGTTCGGCTATTCTATATATATATATATATATATATATATATATATATATGGTGGCGTCTTCGGTGCACTCACTTTTTTGGGTGCGTTCAGTGCACTCGCTTCATAACCATCATTTTAAACATGCGATTTATGTAAAAATGATGTCAATCATCACTTATGATGTGATGAACAATAACGCACATGAATTTGCACAAAAACCATTGAGGATTTACTTTAATTTGAAGGATTTAGAGTTTAGAGATTTAGGGTTGGGGTTAGGGTTTACAATTTGGAGTTTAGAGATAGAACTCAAAATTGGAGGTCTAAGGCTTAGGGTAATCGGCTAATTAGTTGTTATCATACGTTATATCATCATATTACACTGATTCTACAAATTAAAATTCAACATCCGACACATTAAGACTAGTTTTTGAGTTGGGTGCATTGAACGCACCCATTTTTGTGAGTGCACCGAAGTAGTCACCATATATATATATATATATATATATATATATATATATATGGTGGCTACTTCGGCGCACTCACTTTTTTGGGTGCACTCAGTGCACCCACTCTAAAAGTGTCCATATTACATCAAATTTTGATTAGTACTCTCAATCTAATATGATGATATGACATAGAATCATAACAAATCAATCTATTACCCTAACCCCTTAACCTTCAATTTTGAATCCCAATCCAAAACCCCAAATTTTAAACCTAATCCCTAACCCTAAATCCCTAAATCCTAAATTCTTCAAATTAAAGTAAATTTTGAATGAATTTTTTTCAAATTCATGTGCTTCTTGTTCATAATATCATAAGCAACAATTGATACCGTTTTAACATGAATCACATGTTCAGAATGACAATTATGAGGCGGGTGCACTGAGTGCACCCAAAAAAGTGGGTGCACCGAATACGCCACCATATATATATATATATATATATATATATATATATATATATATATATATATATATATATATATATGATTCGGGCCCAAATGTACACATTTTACCCCTCATTTCTTATTCGTTTAGCTTAGTAATTCATCGTTCCTCGACATATATCATGCTAGGTTGTGTTTGTTTTGATACATTTCAGGACCTAGCACGTGTGGAAGGGTCGAGGTCGAATTTTGGAATAATTGGAGGTCAAAAAGTGAAAAAACCGAAGAAAAGTCCGAAGACCGTGACAATTGCCTCGTAACAGTGAAGTGAAGGCGTCCCAGGAAACAGCCGCAGTTCACGGCCGGACCAGGCAGTTCACGGTCTCCTAAGACCATGAACTTCGACCACAAACCGTGAATACCGAGGCGTCCAGCGAGGTTCCTGAAGTTACTGACGACAAGACAGTTCACGGTCTCTAAGACCGTGAACTGTGGCCATTGACCGTGAACCCAGGAAGCAAGGCGGTGCGTTTTGGAGACAACTGAGTTCACAGACGCGTTTAGGTGTTCACGGCCTTGAACTGGCCAACGCCTCCGTGAACTGATCGCTTTCGAGCAAATATGAAGACAACAGCGGGGAGAGAGAGGGGAGCAGGTTTTTGGAGAAGAATTGGTTTCTTTCTCTAGGGTTTGCCCAAAAACAAGAAAGGGGAGTTCTAGTGAGAGAGAGAGAGTGCTAGAGTGATCTTGGAGCATCATTGGAGGCTTGGGCGGAGATTCAAGCCTAGATGAAGAAGAAGAAGATCTTGAGCTCAAACTTAAAATCCCTCTCTCTCTCTCTCTCTAGAAACTCACTCTTTTCTCTTGGGTGTTGTTAGGGCTGGAGATCGGGTCGGTTTCGGGCACCCAAACCGAACTCGTCAGTTACCCGATCCCGAAACTCAGCAATTTCAGGACCCAGCGCCGAGATCACAACGGTTCTCGGGTACCCGAGTACCAAAGTTGGCGGGTCTCGGTTCTTATGCGGTTACCCGTGAGATGGACCAGGTCGCCGTTGACGACTTTGATCACTGGTCCAGGAGGGCGGTGGGGGAATCATATCCTTCGTATGGGATTCCGACGAGTCGCTTCTCTCGAAGGGGGAAGACCAACGACAACCGATTGAGTTGACAGGAGGGAGAGAGTCGAAGATGGACCAAGTAGAGGCACGACGACACTGGTTTTGGCGGCAGGCGATGGCTGCTAGGGTGGGACGGTGGCTGGAGGCAACCTCTTCCTTCCTCTCGATTCTAGATCCGCTCTTCTTCTACTCATCTGAAGAAGAAACTCAAACAAGGGGAAAAGTTGTGGAGAAGCATTTCTCTAAGAAGGGCTTAAGCCTAATGACAACTCGTGGGTTAGGGGTTCTGAGTACCATTGTTGGGCTGGGCCTAGTAGAATGAAGTATTGGCTAGGGGCTTATTTCGGTTTCCCCTCGGTTCTGCTTGATTTTGGTTTCGGTGCTCGGTTTCACCGAAACCCAAAAATAGCCAAACCAGCAGCCGAGACCCGCTCCTGCCACTAATTCTTCGGTTTTTGGTTCCCCGACACCCGACAATTTCGGTTTCGGTTTCGGTTTAGCCGGAACACCGAACCCGAACATCCACCCCTAGGTGTTGTAGATCCCTAACTAATACTTTGTAATTACTGGTTTAGATTAAATGATTGTTTATGGGTATTATTTAATCCAATGATTTAGGTATTATTCATGTCGATTGTGCATGCTTGTGCTTAGCAACCTAAGGATTGTGCATGTTTTGTGCTTAGCATCCTTAGGTTTGTGCATGTTGGTGCTTTGCAATCTAATTAGCCACTTTAACCTAGCTTAGAGAGGAAAATCCCCCTTCCAAGGGAGACTCAATCGAGTTGGTTTTCCTTTAGCTTTTTAAGCCACCTAACTAGGTTAATTTAGGGCAAACCTCAATGTTAAATTAAGCAAATTAGTTAAGCGCGATTAAATCGTCCGACCCTTGAGTTGAGTGAGGGAGTAAGTCAATCATCGATTGCCTAAACCGAGAGGGCCGAGTGACACGGCCATAATGTTCACCTTAGTTTAGCAATTGAGATTGTGGTCTACGACCATATATGCATCCCTATGCGGTTTGCAGTTACCTTTCCCATAGCAATCGTTTCAATCCAATGAGTCATGGTAGCTAGTTAGGGGGATGCAACTCCTGGGTGAAGCTCCCTTAGTTAGAATTTTCCTTTATTTACTTTTCTTTGCTTGTTTATTTTGTAGTTTCCTTAGTTTGAAAACCCAAAACTGTTTTGCTAGATAACAAGTTAAGCAATTGAAGTAGGGGTGCATGGACCGGCCCGGGTTGACAATTTAAATACTTGCTCTATACTGCACATGGCTAGAGTTTAAAAACTTGGGCTCTAGCCGGGATTAATTTGTGGTGTAGTTTCGTGAGAGTCAATATAATATCCGAACCCTAGCATCCAAACTTCCATATCCATACTCCATAATTAATACAATTACATAATAATACCCCATACTTCTAACACCACAAGAACTGGATCCCCTTTTGCCGAAAAGAACAATCCAACATGTTGAGTACCCTGTAGATAACGTAATATACGTTGCACCGCTATCCAATGGGAAGTCCGAGGAGATGACATGAACTGACTAACCACTTAAACAACATAGGAAATATCAGGTCATGTATGGGTAAGATATATGAGACTTCCTATATACTCTGTTACATAGAACCATTAGACAGTAACTCACCTTCAAACTGCCGGAATCTAAGATTCTGTTCCATGGGTGTGGCACACGTAGTACAGTCTTCCATTTGTGCCTCTTCCATGAGATCAACAATATACTTGTGTTGACCCACGTGCAAACCAGCTGCAGACCGATTAACTTCTAAACCTACGAAGTAAGGCAGTTCGCCAAGCTCTTTCAGATTGAACGCTGACCGTAATACCTGCGTCAAACCCACATCATCATTACCTGTGACCACCATGTCGTCCACATATATTAAGAGAATAGCAAGACCTCTAGGAGATGATCTAATAAAAAGTGATGGATCATTATCACTCTGCAGAAATCCGGCCTAGATAATAGTCTCGTGAAATTTTTCAAACCATGCCCGCGGTGCTTGCTTTAGCCCACATAACGAACGCCGAAGATGACACACACCATAGAACTATCTCCACGAGCATAACCAGGAGGTCTTTCCATGTAAATTACTTCTTTAAGATCCCCATGAAGAAATGCGTTCTTCACGTCTAGCTGAAGAAGTGGTCACTTCTTCATTGTAGCCACAACCAAAAAAACTTCGAAACGTTTGCATCTTAGAAGCAGGTGTAATGATTTTTTCATAGTCAATGTCGTACTCTTGTCGGAAGCCTTGTGCAACGACTCTTGCTTTGTGTCTTTCTATCATGCCATCAGGGAACATCTTTATGGTGTACACCCATTTACTGCCAATAACAGAAAACTCAGGCTCTCTTGGAACCAAATCCCATGTATGAGCTGCTTCTAATGCTTCTGTCTCGACATCCATCGCCTTTTCCCACACATCAATTCCCTTGGCTTGCTTATACGTTGCTGGAACAGTGATGGAAGGAGTAGAAAACGCCACAAAGTCAGAATGCCTAGCTAGCAGTTTGCCTTTCGTAGCGCGCATGGACCTGCGCAACTGAGGACCCTCGCTCTCTTCATCTTTGACTAGCAGGGAAGCACTTGATGTACTAGATGAGGACGAACTAGAAGTCTCATGCAGTGAGGGAGATGTACACGATCCATGTGAAGAGGAAGAAGAGGATGTGGAACTTAACTAGGAGCTAGGCGTCAACGCATCAGAGGACCCCGCATCATCATTATCATTATCATTGGCTGAAGAATCACTTGCGGCTGGCATCTCACCAAAACTCATGAAGTCAAGGTTTGGGTTTATGGAGGAGCCTGAGGTAGGCTTCTGATAATTAAATATATGTTCAAGAAACACCACATGGCATGATATACGAACCCTACTATTTTCCACATCATAACATACATACCCCTTGTGCTTTTTGCTATATCCCACAAACACACACTTGATTGCCTTCGGCGTCAGCTTAGTCCTCTCCCTCTTCGATAACAAGACATAATAAACACAGCCAAAGACTCGCAACCACTTATAGTTGGGTAGTCTATCGTAGAGGACATGATATGGACTATGCTAATGTAGAATCAGAGTAATCTGACGATTGATTAAGTACACTATCGTATGAATCGCTTCTACCCAGAACGTGGCCGGAACTTGTGAATGAAATAACATAGCACATTTTAGTTCTAGCACATGACGATGCTTCCTTTCAACAAGCTTGTTCTGTTGTGAGACACCAGGACAAGATTGTTGAGCAAGAATCCCGCGTGCTTTAAACAATGCCTGTAAAGGATTTGATCTGAACTCTCCACCTGGATCCGACCTGAATATCTTAATGACCTTGCCATTTGTGTAGAAACCATTTGAATAAATTCTGTGGCCATAGATAATAGTTCCGACTTCTGACGTAGGAAGTACACCCAAGCAAACCGCGTCGCAAGATCAATGAATAACACAAAGTATTTAAAACCCATGAAAGACGTCACAAGAGAGGGACCCCACAAATCATTGTGTACCAAATCAAAAGGTTCAGAATACACCGTAGTACTTGCAGTAAATGATTGATGCGACATCTTAGCCTGTAAATAGTAAACACATGTATGTTTCTGACCATTACCACTGCCTGATAATAACTTATTCTGAAACATAGTCTGCAATATCATAGAATGAGGATGTCCCAAAAGAAAATGCCACAAATCCCAATCCGACAATTGTACTAAATAAATATAATAATTCCTACAACTACTAGAATGCAAAAGTTTGGCATCATGCCCTTTGACTCGTAGACCGCCATGCTGGATGTCGACCCTCGACACTCTTTCTGCTACCGCAGTACACGTCCCATCATCACAACTAGCAGTTGTGGGAGCTCGAGAATATTGATCCAACATGAACACCCGACCATGCTTACTACCTCGCCCGATCTCCATTCCCGTTCTCATGTCCTGCACAAGACACCCATGTGTACAAAAAATGATTCGACACCCTTCTTCAGCCCATTGACCCACAGAAACAAGACTAGGAACTAGTTTGGGCACATAAAATGTATTCGGAAGAGAGAAACATGGCTGAACTACATTGCTAACACCCTTAACTTGCATTCGAGTTCCATCGGCAGCTTGTAAATCAAGACTAGCGGCTGTATTATTTAATCTATGGAATGCACCTCGAGTACTACTCATATGATTGGAAGGTACCAGTCACAAAAGCCGAGGTCAGAGCGGTTGGAAGAGTCTCCTTCAGGGCCTCCTGAACAAGACGGCGCACATTGTCTGAAGTCATTCCATGTCAATAATCACACGAACACAAATACGAGATGAACACGAGATGCAAGATTTACGTGGTTTCCTCAACGATTGACGTTGAGACTAGTCCACGGCACAACGGCAGATGATGATCTTATTCCACGTACAACTTACATGAATGGTTCGACTATTATATATATATACTAGCCGAACCCTAGCCTCCAAACTTCCATATCCATACTCCATAACTAATACAATTACATAATAATACCCCATACTTCTAACACGCGCTTTACGGAGGTTTGATGGTTTATGTAGACGCCGACGCAGGCCAGGGAGGCGAAGGTCGCACCAATGCATATGATAGCGACGGAGGTGAGGCTGTAGCAGATGACGACCATGCAAGGGAAGCCGATACAGGAGACGATCACAGGCAAGGGAGGTCAGGACAACAAGGACGACCGCGACCGCGAGGCCGTTTAATGTTATGATGGATCGCTCTGCTAGGGAAAGAGAGAGAGAGAGAGAGAGAGAGAGAGAGAGAGAGAGAGAGAGACGGTTAGAGAAGAAAAGAGAAGAAAAAATGAAATGGAGGAAAGAGAGGGGCAGTTGGACTTCTCCCCAAATACCGCTTGCCAAAGCTGGGATCACCTGTGGGCATACCCAAAATACCCCTATAACAAAGTAACTCTTAGATTTCGCAGAAACATAAAGGAACGTGGTATAATTGGTTAGTACCGTGCTAATTTAGTTGCTAGTTAGCATCCCATCCCATCCCGATTATCTCGTAAGGAATCTTGAAAAAGCTTCCACTATTAATTAATTGATTGTTAGGTCCTACCATCCAATTGAATATGATATTTAATTAGACGGAATCAACATAACAAGTGTTATCATGACAAATTAACATTATATAGGATTTGATTAAAAAGGGTTATAGGTATAATATGCCCCTCTACTATGACGTTTTATCAAACATGCCCTTATACTATTTTTTACATCAAACATGCCCCTGTACTTTGTAAAAATGATCAAACATGCCCTTTTGTTTAAATTTTCATCCAAAAACCGTTAACCAAGGTCGAACTTTGGTTTGGGAGGCACAAATGTCTAAAATATCCCCAATAATTTCACTTTAGAATTTGTTTTGTTCTGTTGTATAGTCAAATAATTAAAATGATTTCACTTCGAAGAGATCCAGAGAAATAAAGCGGGAGACAAAACTGACATTTTCGCTCCCATTTGCCTATGTCGGTCATGTAAATCTTGGTTCAACCATGATTGACGATTTTATCAATGAAAATCTTAACAGAAGGGCATGTTTGATAATTTTTTCAAATTACATGGGCATGTTTGATGTAAAAAATAGTAGAGGGGCATGTTTGATAAAACGTCATAGTAGAGGGGCATATTATTCTTATAACCCATTTAAAAAAGCTTGGCTCGAAAACCTTATTCTAGACTAAGTATCAAAAACTCTATTTCGTAATGAGTGATTTGTCAAAAATGGTTTATTGAAGTATTAACTGACTTATAAGATGGGAAAAGTAATCTTTGGTTGAATCTTAGACCAGAGGCTAAGAATCATTGTTAGACACAAAATATTCAAACGAAGGCCCTACAATAAGCATGTTTATCTAGCTAATAATCCATGTCAAAGGTTGAGAAATAAGGTCAAGAAAATGGCATTAGCAACCATAGAATATTATACATTCATCTATGTTTCTTCAACAATCCTAACACCGGCAACAATGGAGCAGAGACAATTGAACACATCCTGCGTGGCTGTCCCAGCTCTCAACAGGTATGGCGATTGTTGGGGATAAATGATACTCTTCTCACCTGTGGCCTTGGTTTTACAGCTTGGCTAGAGTCACACCTTGGGAGCGATCATGAAGGACTTCTCTTTGGAGTGGCGTGCTAGTACCTCTGGAAGAGACGGAACGAGAAGACCTTCCACACTTTGACTCAAGAAGATCACATCCTGGCGCATCGGATCAGGTGCTGGACCAATACTATCCTCAATGCGCAACTAAGCGACAGGGCTTCCCACGACCAGACTCCGACGAAGACATCGCAGCAGCTTGTGTGGAAACCTCCCCCGGCAGAGTGGATGAGCAACAATACTGACGGGTCGGTCAAACAACCGGGATGGCTTGCTGCAGCGGGAGGTTTGATCCGTGATTGAACAGGACGCTGCGTGGACGCTTTCGTGGAGAATCTCGGAATTTGCACGATCACCAGGGCCGAGATCAAGGCGGGAATTCGTGGCCTGCAGGTGGCTTGGAGGAAAGGCTATCGCAAAGTCCACATTCAATTGGATTCTACCACTGCAGTCAATATCCTCTCCTCCCAAAATCAGACCGAGCACAGGTACTTCAACCTGGTCCAACAATTCAAGGGACTAGTTCAGCAAAACTGGGAAGTTAAAATTTCCCATACCTACAGAGAATGAAACAAGGCCGCGGACTTCTTGGACAATAAGGGCCACGGTGTTAGCATAGGTTTCCATGATTCCAGGATCGATGATCCATGTTTATCGTTTTGGATTTTGTATGATACTTTGAGCATTGCTCAATCTTGCTTACTCTAAGTAGCAGGCAGGGGCGCCCTTTTAGCGTCCCATTTTTCTACCAAAAAAAATATTCCATTTTCTGTGTCTGACACGACCTCCTGATATATCTATATTGTCTCGACAAGTGCCACGACCTCGCGATATATTTATATTGTTTCGACAAGTGCCTAACTGAGATTGACGATTCAATTCACATGTACCTCGAAACTTGTAAGGCAAAGTCCCAAACATCATATATCGATGCCAAGATGTCACAGGTCTCTATGTGTTGCTGTTGTAGGACATGATACACCTTAATTAATACATCTCATCTTCCTCCCATATGTGTTGTAGTTAGAAGGCTGGGCCATAAGGCATGGATTTAATTGTCTTAATGCGCTACTATGATAAATACACAAATTGGTTGCCTAAGACTTGTCTCCTACCTAGATTCGACAGTAAGCTTCACCATACGATCAATAGAGGTATAACATTATGTGGCCCTCCATAGCCAGCCATCTAACTGTAGGGTACTTCCAATGTTCCCCTGCATTTTGTTCCATCGTTGGCAAGGCAAGAGTATGTTAGATTGCCTGAAATGTGTCCCAAATATTAGTTTTGGTTCCGAGTTGTAGATGAGAAGCCTGGAATACTTAATCTATATAAAGGGTCTTATAGTAATTGCTTAATTCAAAAATCACAACCAACATAGAACATTTCAAGTCTCCCAATTGTTCAGTGAGATCTTCTGTCATCAGCTTTTACAACGCCACAAGTTCATCCAGCTAAAGAGAGAACCATGGCTATTGGGTTTCCAGGAAACATTGCTAAGCAAATTCTTCGACGTTCTGGTTCCGGCGGCTCAAGCAAATCACCATCGTCATCAAGGTTTCCAGATGTGCCAAAGGGGTTACTTGGCAGTATATGTTGGCGAGTCACAAAGGAAGCGGTTTGTAGTGCCAGTTTCATATTGAGTCAGCCTTCCTTTCAGGACCTATTGAGTATGGCTGAAGAGGAGTTTGGATTTGATCATCCAATGGGTGGCTTGACAATTCCTCGTCGGGAAGAAACTTCCATTTCTGTCACTTCAAACCTGAATTGATTGAAGGAATGAAAGATGACGAACCACAAATTTTGTATAGATATATATGATAGGAATTTTACATGTATTAGATAGAGCTTCTCTCCATTTTGTTTTTGCCGTAACAGGCTTTTGTGGGAAGGACAATATTGAAAGAAAAGGTTTTTCTCTTATAAACACTATGTCAGGCTGCACGTATTAATTTCTATTTTTAAAGACAGTTCTTGCATTTATTGTTGCTCGTAGCTTACATATCGTTTGATTGTATAATTAGCTATAACGAGTTTCTTTCCTTGAGTATATGAGCTCGAGCTAAGCTTAAGTAACTAGCTACTCATTTGAGATGGTTCGTATGTCTCGCGACTTGGGATGGGTTGCGTTGCTAACCCTCTATAGGGTTAGTACCATGCTAACGTCTATATCATTCATTAGATTAAATTAACAATCCTACGATCCTAATTCATTGAAGGACAATATAGTAATATAAATTGAAACCCTAATATAAATGGTCTCCACTCATCCCTCCCCACACTCCCCTCTCTCTCCTCTCTATCTCTGGACCAAAGTGAACCATCATCCTTCCTCTCTCTATCAGAACCATCATCCGACCTGCTATTGCTTCCACACTAGCGTCTCTTCCGTCCTTTGTCGATGCTTCGAGTCGTCACCGTTGGTGGGGGAATCCTCCATTGGAAGAGGTGTTGATGTGGGGATCTTCCATTCTTCGCTTCTGATTTTAGTCGTCACCGCTGGTAGATGTGAGACTCAAAATCGATGTCGAAGCTTCGTGCAGCGGGATATGCACGTCATCTTCCGAGTCCGCATCCGATAGTTTGGAGAAGATGAAGACGAGACCGACGAAGACGGTGGGGGAATCCTCCATTGAAAGAGCGGCGACGAGAGAGGGAAGCAACAGAAGTGGTGAGGGCAAGCAGCGTCAGTGTTGTTTCCAGATCCAAGATGTTGAGGGAAGCAGTTGGCTTGATGATATTGGTAGTAGTGATTTTCGTAGCGATTTTGGGAAGTGACAGGCGTGATTTGTATTGTTTTTAGTAGTGATTTTGATAGTAGTGATTTTGGGTAAATGCCACATTTGGTCACTGAGATTACTAAATCGTATCATGTTTAGTCACTAGAAAAATTTAATATCAATTTTGGTCACTCGAATTAATGAAACGGGTCACATTTAGTCACTCTCCCGTTAGACTCCGTCCAACTCCGGTCACTCGAATTACTGAAACATGTCACATTTAGTCACTCGAATTACTGAAACATGTCACATTTAGTCACTCTCCCATTAGTTTCCGTCCAACTTCATTAATGAATTTGGACGGAAACTGACGGGAGACTGACTAAATGTGACTTGTTTCGATAATTCAAGTGACCAAAATTGATATTAAATTTTTCGAGTGACTAAACATGACACAATTTAGTTATCTCAGTGACCAAATATGGCATTTACCCTAGTGATTTTATATGTATTAGTAGTCTTTTTTTTATAATAATGAGTAGTGATATTTGATAATTATTAATATAATGTTTTTAGAGTGATACTTGTCAAAATGCTGCATTCTCTTCATTTTCGGTAGTCTTTTGTAAAAATCATTAATTACTAATAATTAAAAATAATACTGATAATAATAAAATCACTACTAACAGTAATAAAACCACTATAAGAAATTTATACTAGCTGCTATACCCACTAAAATCACTACTGATTTTAGTAGTAGTACTTTTTTAACAGTTAATTTGTTTACAGATAGCATCTCTACTAGAGAGAGAGAAAATTGATATTTCAAAATTTTATTTTTAATAATTCTTTTAAATTACCTAATATACCCTCCACTACACTCCACCGTTTGATTCACTTTAAAATAATGGACGGTGATGATAGTGGTTAGCATTAGGGGGGATAATTCCCTAAATACATATAAAATTAAAACAAATTCCCAAACTACCACACTTTTAAAAAAATTTCCCAAAATACCTAAGTTTGGAGTGGTTCGAGTTTGAGAAACTCGAACTACTAACCGGTTCGAGTTTAGGAGACTCGATCTAGTCGTAGATCGATGATATAAGCCTCGAACCATGTGAAGAACTCGAACCACTCCTTTGAAATTTCCAACAACCTTAACTTTGTGCTCGGTTATCCGATCTTAGCAAACTTTTTTTTTCATTTCGCATAACTTTTCGAGGACTACAACTTTTATAATAGAAATATTTTCAGAATATATGTGAAAATGTGAAAAATAAAGTTAAATTTACTCCCAAACCACCTTATATTAAAAAATGTTCCTATTTTGAAAATTTATTCCTAGTAAATGTTGTAGTACTCAAAACATTATGCAAAATAAAAAAAACTTTGCGACATTCGGATTGCGGAGAACAAAGTTATGCTCCTCCAAAGTTTGACAAATTCGAAAATTTGCTCGTTTATGGGTAGCAAATGACGTTTTCTAGGAAGATAACCATCCAAAAATTTCTCGTTTGGAAAAATATTGCTCTTTTAACAGAAATTCCCTATATATAAAAAAATTTCCCGTGCCTTCGACCCGAGAAAATGTCATTTGTTACCCCTAAACAAGCAATTTTTTCGATTTTGCCAAACTTTAGAGGATCATAACTTTGTGCTCCGCAATCCGAATGCCGCAAAGTTTTTCTTTATTTTGCATAATTTTTTGAGTACTACAACATTTACTAGGAATAAATTTTCAAAATAGGAACATTTTTTAATATAAGGTGGTTTGGGAGTAAATTTAACTTTATTTTTCACATTTTCACATATATTCTGAAAATATTTCTCTTATAAAAGTTGTAGTCCTCGAAAAGTTATACGAAATGAAAAAAAAATTGCTACGATCGGATAACCGAGCACAAAGTTAAGGTTGTTTGAAATTTTAAAGGAGTGCGGTTCGAGGCTTATATCATCGATCTACGACTAGATCGAGTCTCCTAAACTCGAACCGGTTAGTAGTTCGAGTTCCTCAAACTCGAACCACTCCAAACTTAGGTATTTTGGGAAATTTTTTAAAAATTGTGGTAGTTTAGGAATTTGTTTTAGTTTTATCTGTATTTAGGGAATTAATCCGCATTAGGGCTGGGAAAATAGACCAGACAGTTAGAAAAACAGTGGTCCAAATCGTACCGCACAGTTTGGTCCGGACCGTAGACCGTTAAGTATGGTCTGGTCTGGTACATGGTCTGTATTATTTTATGTTTTGATCTCTTGGTCTGGTCTAGTCTAGACCGCGGTTTATCGTACCAAACCGTGGACCCAACTGACTTGTCAATACGTGTTAACAGTCCATTCGACTACTCTCACAACTCCCACAACGACACCCAAGTCTCAACCTTAATTTTGTGAATCTCGTCCCTCCTTCATTCAGAACCACACTTAACTAGAGAGTAGAGATAATCGTGTCTCCATATGACATTATGTTAATGTTTATAACGTTATGGTGCAAGTTGGGATGCTTTTACTTAATATCTTTGTTATGTACTAGGATTTATACTCTGTTTGGGAAGAGGGGTAAATGGGAGGGGGTGTAAAGACAGTTTCCAACACATTTGCATATGTTTGGTTAATTTGGAACAGTAGGGGGTGCAAAACGGAAGTGCAAATTTACTGTTTCGGTTACCCCCAAATTGGGGTGCAAGAGAAGGAAGGAAGGAAGAGAGGGGGAGGGGGAAATTAAGGAATTTTATTTTACTAATTGTGTTATATATAATTATATAATAATTAATATAATCAATTTCATTTTTTATAAATATGATTAATGTAGACATTATTCGGGGTTGACCATTTGACTCTAGAAACAAGTTTATCAATGTTCGTCAAGTCAAATCTAGATCTCTTGGTTGACTCGTATTTGCATTGAAAATTAGAGATACAAAGTGTTTGTGGAAAAGCTAAAGAGAAATTGTTTGGTTAACTCAGTTTATTTGACTAAATGGTAAAACTTACAAATCCGAACGTGTTTGACTAAGTTTGGCAATTTAAGATTAAACTAGACACAAAAACCCTATATAGGATGACCAGTTAAGAGTTGAGCTTCGAGTTTTGAGATCGCTCGATAAATGATTAGTACAATTGTTATAATTAATTATTATTTAAGCATTATTATATAATAACTATTTTTATTAAAGTATATTTATTATTATATACTAATATTTATTATTATATAATAACTATTTTATTAAAGTATATTTATTATTATATACTAATATTTATTTTATTATTTTGTGATAATATTTTATAATTTTAATAAATCTTTTTTATAACTTTAATAAATTTATTTTATAACAATATAATTACTTACTTTTCACTATATTTGCACCCCCTACTTTTTCATCAAAACAACAATTTACCCCTCCACCTGCACCCCCAGCAACTTGCACCCCCAAGCAATTTACCTCTCAACTTGCACCCCCATGCAATTTGCGCCCCCTTGTTGCCAAACAGAGCGCAGGGTATCAAATTTATTCATGCATGTTAGGATTAATGTTTTAAGGCATATAAAAATTATTTTTCTTGATTATTGGTTCAATTTTTTGTGTGGTTGAGTAAAAAAATTGTTCATTTTTCGTTGAGTGTGGTCTATCTGGATCAGACCAGACCGAACCAAACCGCACAGACGTGGTTTGGACTGGACTGGACTGTATAGTCTATGGTCTATACTTCAGCTTCTCGATCTGGACCATAAACCATATATATGGTCTGTTCTGAACCAAACCGCACCATTTCCCAGCCCTAATTATCACGGTGCTAACTACTATGAATTTAGCACCATAACCTCTCACTCGCGAATTGAATAAGAAACTTAGCTCAAATTCAGCTATAAATGAGCAAAATGGCAAACGATAACGTTGTTTACAGCAACAGCGAGGGAAGGAAATGGACATTATTTCATAGTCCGGCCCAATAATTGTCGGTTGGCCCATAAAAGAAAGCAATAAGCGTGGCGCTACGTTGATCATTCAATTCAACACAGTTAGAAGAAGCAACGGCAGCGAAAGAAATAATACCCACCGGCAGAAGAAAAAATCACTTCGCTTTCCCTATGCCTTTCCTTCCTTCCAAGTGCCCGCTTCTGGTTCCAGTTCCTCTGAACTAGCTCCCTCCAAGCTGCAAGTGGCCATAGCCATGGCTTCGTTCATGGCTCAAGCGTCTCGCAGCGTAATCGGACCCATTTACGAATATAACAACAGCGGCAGCAGCTGCCTATGCTTTTCCAGATATAGTGTCATCAATTCGTCGCGGCCGTCGTTCCGGCGCCCTGATTCAAATACAGTAACACACTTGGCCCGAGTCTATGAAATGCGTAATCGCCGTTCTACTGTAATCCGCTGTTCTTCCGACGAAGTGAGGTGCGCAACTGATTCCCTCTCTTACTTTTTTTCCCGGTAACCAGGGTCAGCTAGCTAGGCCACAAATAGGAAACCAAATGGATGACTAATCTGGACAGAGCCATAGAATTGTGAAATTAAAGCGAGCTATAATGAGTTCGATTGATATTCTTTGTTCAGCTCTGGAACCAAGATAAGGGGCGAAGTGCTAGCCCCATTTCGGGCCGTGAGGATGTTCTTTTACCTCGCCTTCATCGCCAGTGGCTCTCTGGGGGGACTGATCGCAACGAGCAGGCTGATTGGGGCGCTGGCGAATGCATCGAGAGCCGCCGAAGTCCCTGAGATTGTGAAAGGCCTCGGCATAGACATTGCAGCGGTGTCGATTTTCGCATTCCTTTACTTGAGAGAGGACAGCGCTAGAAATGCTCAACTGGCTAGGCTTTCTAGGGAGGAAGGGCTTTCGAAGCTCAAGCTTAGGATCGACGAGAGGAGGACTATACCCGTGAGCTCGTTGAGAGGGTTTGTAAGGCTTGTGATATGTGCTGGCCCTGCATCGTTCATTGCCGAGGCTTTTAGGCTCAGTGAGCCTTTCACTGAGGGGCTTCTTGAAAGAGGGGTGCTTGTGGTGCCTTTCCCTACTGATGGGGAGTTGCCTGCATTTGAGTTTGACGAGAATGAGGAGGTCACGGCCAAGAGGAGGCTCTGGCAGCTCGCTCCCGTCTATGCCAACGAATGGTCCAAGTATGGAATGATACTACTGAATATATAATCAGTTCTCAATTTCTTTACTTGGTTTTGTTTCAAGTCAGTCCATCCATAGTAACTCCATAAAGACAAATAGTTGGTAGATTGAAGAGTCTGGCAGTTGCACCAATTGTTGTTTCATGTCATTGTCCTTCTTTTCTGTTGGTGAAAGAATGTTGCTGAAAAACTTGGCAGGTGGTTAGATGATCAAAAGAAGAGGGCTGGAGTCTCCAAGGAATCTCCTGTGTATGCCCCCTTGTTGTTGATCTTTCACCATTTTGAGTTGTGGATCACAGATTGCTGGCATGTCAAATGTTGTAACGGACGTTGCTTGTGATTCTTCCTGTAGGTACTTGTCGCTGCGATTGGATGGGCGGGTGCGGGGCAGTGGTGTAGGGTACCCTCCTTGGAATGCATTTGTTGCCCAGTTGCCGCCGGTGAAAGGAATGTGGTCAGGTCTTCTTGATGGCATGGATGGGAGAGTTCTGTAGAGACTTGTTTTTTCTTCTTCCCTTCTATGGAGGAGGTGAGTTTTGTTTCTGTATTTGCTTTGTTGTAATTAGCGCAACTTATAAGTTCCCAAGAACTGTTCATTCAGTTTGTCAAGTAAAAGATATGCCTTTTCATCCACACTGATTTTAGACCCAGTTAGGAGGATGAAGCGCTATATGAATATGATTGGGTGGAATGCTCGAGCATGATGATGCCGGGCATATTGACTGGCGGCATCATCAGGTGACGACTACTCTTTCTACACTGAAATGTTCAAAGCAGATATGATTACCGTGAGGAGAACTTCACTGTCGATTATAGATCTCACTGCTTATGTATTTTCATCCTTTGGCCAGGGCACACATGTGACATGTTTTGCATTAGTCTCTTATTTTGCACCCACTTGTATATACCACAAAGAAATTTAGGTCTAAATCCTTAGAGTGTGTACTTGTTAAAATTTCCAGTCTTTTCCATCATTTTTTTCTCGAGATCAAGTAGAGTCGCTATTTCTTCCACTCGCACTTTGTTACGGTCTCTTATTACTACAATCTCTTCACGAGTTTTGTTAATCTCTTCGTAAGCCCTCTTGTGCACGAATGGCTGCTTTTTGTTCTTGTTGGATTTTGGCATGGGTCAAATACCCGGGGTCTTTCTCGAATCTCACTACCTGCTTTCCGAATTCCTTCTCCAATGCCTGACCTTTAGGTTCGTTGATTTTGGCATGCTTCTCCAATGCTATAATCTGAATGTTATTCTGTTTGTTCTATTAACCTTAGTTATGATTCAAATCCTTTTTTGTGTGGTAGAATGATTCAAATTCTTTGGTAGTAGCCTAAGGGCCAGCAAAACCTTGGTTTGATATCTTAGGTTGATCAGGATTAAAGAAATCACAATGAATTGTTTGGAAAAACTAGCCAAAAGTCAAAATATTCTCAATCAAGATTTGAATCTCTTGACTTAGAAACATATATGGACTAATAAGGTCAAGGGGAATCATAAAAATCTGTGAAGAGTTTTAGAAAATGATAATCATGTAGCTCAGTCATCAAGAGTGAAAAACCTTTGCTAAGAATCACTGGTTGAGGCTTAGACTAACCTTGATAGCCATGACAGAGGTATAAGACAATGAGTTTTGTGTTTAGATTGAAAATACTTGACTTCATATCTTAGGCCAAGAAAATATACAACATAACGCATTGATAAGGAGTAGAGACACATGACAAGAAGCGGTTTGTAATACCATTTTCGTACTAGAGCCACCCTTTATTTCAGGATTTGTTGAGTACGTGATATGATCCCAAATAGGCCACTCTACAAGTTGGAATTACTTGACGAAGAAGCAAGCTCAAGCTGCCTGAAGAACATTCATTTTTGTCGAAGTCATTTTCCGTGTTCAAGTAGCCAATTTCGGAGGCACGTTTCTCTCAAATGGCTCAATGTAAATTCAAGTTTAATGGCTTGTATTGAACATGGAGTGATTATCTACACATTGGTATGCTTGGTTGATCAAGAAAATGTCATTAAGCTTGTTTTCCAAAGACTCAAAGTTGCTACCTCAAAACTGGAAAACTGCCAGAAAATGGTTAAGTCTGGAAACTGTTTTGTGAGACCTACTTCGGAGCTTAATTCGAGGAGTATGGAGGTGATTCAAGTCCAAAGGCTTCCACAACATGAAACTAGGTATGTTTATGTAGAAAGGGAAGGAATTGGATGAAGGGTTGGAGTTTTGGAAGGCTGCGAACAAAAGGCGCGAAGTTAGTACGAAAGCTGTGTTGGACTGTTTGCTGGCAGCTTACTTGCGCTTGGAGGAAGAGAGTTTAAATCCGATTTTTGTGTCCTTTTTAGTGTAGACTTTTACCTTAATTGTTTCCTAGTTCTATTAGGTTTGTGTTAGGTTTAGTTGCCTTTAAATACCTTCTAGTTTTCGTTGTAATAGTTAGACAGAGTTGATTAATAGAAAAGAAACCGTTTGGTTTGTTCAAGTTTGCGAACTTGTTCTTGGGTTTTGGTTGCGATCAAAACTTGCTGACCTGCTTATTGATCGAGCAATCACACTCGATTATATCGAAAGCTTCACCATAACGATTGTGCATTCTTCCAGGTGTAAGAATTCCCTTTCGTTTCCGTTTTATCCAATTTTCGTATTAAGAACACGTTGTTCTTGATTCGATTTTTCAATCAATCTTCGGATTGATCGTTGTGCTGCGTGACTTTGATAACATACACCCCAGGGGCGTATTAGTACGGCTGAAGTGGAATTTGGTTTTGATTATCCTATGGGTGGCGTGATTATTCCCTGCACTTAAAAGCTTTCATTTCTGCTACTTCAAACCTCAGCAGACCATCAAGACCAGATGGGTTGAAGAAGTCAAGATGAAGAACCACAACTTTGTATATGACGGATATTGTTGTAAATGTAGCGATGGAGCTTCTCTTCTCTGCCATTTCAGCTGAATTTTATACCCTTTTGATTGCCTCCGCATTCTGCAAATTGTTGCAACTTTTTTATACGAAGAGAAGCTTTTCTTGCTCACTGTGCTGTTTATCTCTACCTACCATTTGCAGTTTTCATCTGACGCCAACTAATTTTGAAAGAAGCTAAATTGTTCCTTGTGTAAAATATAAGCATGATCCTCATCTTCAGTTGCCACTGATACTCCTGTCCTGTGAAGATCTACTTCTTGGCAAATATTCCAATGCAAAACCTTTCTACCATCGTGTCAAAAAACAGGAGAGTGGCCCAAATAGCAGTTTCTTACCCTGATGACCTGAACAGGTATGTGCACTAATTGAACTAGGAATTATTACTGTTAATCAAATATGGTAATCACTTGATTCCTGTTTCTTGAAATGTTAGAAGCTTCCATCCTTTTTGCCTGACATACACTTATGGAATATCTAACTGTTTCAGCAAGTGTCTTAATAACTGAAAGCGACAATTCTATTCACATCTACCTCAAAACATATAGGGCAAGTCCCACACATCCGATATAGATGAGAAGGTGTTACAGGGCATTCTGTGTGGTTGTTGTAGGACAGGACAGGACAGGACAGGATACCCCTTATCACGTGAATTCGGCATCAAGCTTCCACCATACGAACAATACATAGATAACATTCATCATGTGGCCCTCCATGCTGTAGCATTTTTGTTGCATCATCAGCAAGGCAAGAGCATGTGACACTGCCTGAACCATGTCCCAATATTGATTTTGGTTGTTTTGAGTTGTAGATGGGAAGCCTGGAATATTTATCTATATAAAGGGTCTTATTGTAGCTGCTCAATTCACAAATTGCAACCAGCACAAAGTTTGTGACGTCTTTCAACTGTCCAGTGAGATCTGCTCTCTTCAGCTCTTTCAGTACCACAAGTTCATCCAACAAAAAGTAAGGATCATGGCTATTGGGTTGCCAGGAAAAGTTGCCAAGCAAATTCTTAGACGGTCCGGTTCCGGTTCTAGCAAATCATCATCTTCAAGGTTTCAAGATGTGCCAAAGGGTTACTTGGCAGTATATGTGGGAGAGTCGTCACAGAGGAAGCGGTTTGTAGTACCACTGTCGTATTTGAGCCAGCCTGCATTTCAGGAGCTGTTGAGTATGGCTGAAGAAGAATTTGGTTTTGATCATCCAATGGGTGGGTTGACAATTCCTTGCCGGGAAGAAATTTTCATTTCTATGACTTCAGACTTGAGTTGATCACGGTGAAGTATGACTGAAGGAATCAAGATGATGAACTTCAATTTTTTGTACAGATAGTTTATAGGAATTGTACATGTACTAGATAGATCTTTTCTCCCTTATTTTTTAGCCGTGAGAAGCTTTATGGGAAGGGAAATATTACTGAATGGAAAGTCTTTCCTTTTACAAACACTACAAAGGGATTGAAATTCCTTTACAATGACAGATATTGGCATTGAAATTCGCAATGGTTGTTCTGATAACACTTGATATGGACGATAGCAGAAGAAATCGATACTGAAACAGACAAACTAAGAGAACTTTTAGAAGTTGAAAGCTACAATAATGTCAGATAATGGAGGCAGAATGATCCAGATGTAACAAAGACTCTCTTCCAGTGTCCTACAAGGTTGGTGGCGTAGCTAGTTTGGCCTGTTTCTTTTAGTTGTTTTTGGTCTATCCAGCCTCATCTTTTAGTCAACTAGTCATTGAGAAGGGGCAGCAAAATACTTAAACTTGTGATAATCAAACTGCACAGCACAGTTTTGAATCGATTGAAGCCAAGCATATGCAGAAAGCTTGGTAGCCATTGAGTGGATATCTGCAAAATGATGGCAGTAGAAAAGAAAAAGAACACACCTTCTGTCAATACCTTTTTCTTATAAGATTGTGTCAATACCTTAGCTAAGTAGTAATTTGCATGCAAGAAGCCAAATGAAATTACCTGAAATCCATCACAAACTTGGATTTGCCTACCCTTCCAAGCTGCAAAATTATCTGCTTCCCATTTTCCTGAAACACAGCAAGACCAAACCATTCACAAGACTAAGCCATCACTACTAGCGAAAACTCTTCTTCAAACTGTTTCCGTATTGTACCTCTAATGTCAACTGGAAGTTCTTCACTGAGCTTTGGATCGTAAGCCCAGCTCTTCCCTTGTCTCTAAAGTCCAACTCATATTGTTTTGTTACCTGATCAAGAAAACCAATGTCTCACTTCAATATAACTCCAAAAACTGCATTCATAGTCAATGTCACCTCATAACAATAAAACTAACATTGTTGTAGCGAGGCGTCCTCGAATGCAGCTTGTTCACTTTGTTCCTTCTCTCCTCCCAGTCATTTGGCAGACCATTGACGTGCTGCACCTGATCAAAGCTAAGAACATCTGTAACTATAATACAAATGTGGTTCACATTGCAGCAGTTAGATGACTCATTCATCATATTCCACCTCCCAACTCACCTGAGTAGTGTTCTTTAGCTGCATAGATTGATGATTGGGAATGTACGCTTTCATTCTTCTGTAGCTTCCAGTCCAGGTGCCAATAGTGGGTACAAACCTTCAGAAACAGAAACCAGAAAGGCGAAGAACTATATCAGGCCAAATGGGGGAGTTCAAAGGGCTGAGGAGTTGGGTCTTGAGTAGAGTCTCCCTTACGTGATAACACCAAGAAGTGGATTCCCTTGTTTCTTTGAACAATTGGCAGAGCCAAGCTGCAAATCAGAATGTCCTCAATTAGCATAATACTAACACACATGGTGGGGGTGGCAACATGAAGATTCCGTCTTTAAGCATTTTAGAAGAGAAATATTGAAACCTGATTCTGATTCCAAATGTGGTACTTGGAACCCAAGAGGTTAGCTGTCACATTCCCAACAAAACTCTCATCTGAACAGGATACAAGTCCCTTCATTTTCTGCGCTATGATAAATTCAGACCTCCCACCATGGCGCCTATGGTGGGCTATCGCCAGTTTCCTATCCTGCCTCCCATACCCTTCCTAAAATTTGGTAAACAACAAAGAATCTCCCATGAATCCTAATCTCCACATCACTAAAAAAACATATACCAAAAGACCTCAAGCAGCCAAAGAGACATCCTTACATTGGTATATAGGGAATAGAGAGTGCCACCACCTAAACCGTCTGTAGAAGCTTCTTTCACTATGAGGCAAGTGCATTTCCCAACATCCAATGGCAATGGCCTGCACAACAGAGCCCTGGAAAAGAGAAAGGAATCCATGGAGTTGAGACAACTAAACTGGGAACAAAACAAAACAAAAAAAAAACAATGATCTGATTGAGAAAAGAAAAGATGCTACCTATTGGGCAATGTGGACCAAGAAGAAGCAGGGGCAGCCTCGGAATCGGAGTAGTCCCAAATGTTCAAAGAGGAAGAGTGGTCGGATTGAGCACATGGGGAAGCATCCCAAATCATCTTGTTGGACTTGAAAGCTCGATCCGGCTCATTCATCTGCATACACATCTGCAGTGTCGAAGACGAAGGCTTCAGAACCCTCCCTGTAGACAGACACTTCTTCTGCTGCTGCAAAACTAGAGAGCCGTTGGTGGAAGACGACAAAGACTTTGAATTCGAATTCAACTTCCCCCTAAAAGAAACAGAATTCTCCTTGTCGTTGTTGTCGCAGCAGCTAGTATTAGTATGATTGTTCTCTTTGTTGTCCGTGAAAGCCCTGGCGACGGCGGTGAGAACGTCCCCGTCGCTGCAGCTGTGGTGGTGGTGCTTGAGCGGCGGATTATTTGCAGAAGAGACTGGGTTTGGCAACGTGGGTATGTCGGAATTCTCCATTTTGCGATCAGAGAAGGCTGAAAGCACTGATCTTTTTGGTGAAACAAGCTTCACATGTGCAGCAGCAGTGGAGAACAAATGTTTGCAACGTCCGTTCTTTCTCTCTGGTTGTAGTTTGTACTAACCGAAGATATGAATTTGAAATACTACAAGCCCATAAAAAAAAAAGATATAAAAAAATTGAAATACAAATCCATTTTGGGGATGGGGGCGGGAGATGAATTTGAAATGGCCAGCTCAGCTTGGGAAAATGTGTGGATGGTTGGGCTTGTTGGACCTTGGGCTGCTGAAAGGAGTCCTTTTTCTTTTATGGTAATTAAATAGTAAATTGGGGTGGGAGATTAAGGTAAGTATCGTTATTCTATACGACTTTGATGTGTAAATTAGGAAAAAAATTTAAAATACGTATGTTTTTTTAAAAAAAATTCAAAATACACGTTATAAAAAAAATTCACAATCTACGCATGTTTGGGCATTTACCGCGGCAAAGAAGGGCGGGGATTGCATCACCGCAGGAGAGAAGAGCGGGATTGAAAGAAAAATCTCTTATTCAATCTCACTCTCCTCAATCAGCTCACCTTATACACACGACAGAAAATAAACAGAGAAAAAGTAACATAATTTAAAAAATGGACAAAAATATTCCTGCCTCATCCTGCATCAAGCCCAGCCACACGATCATCCAAGCCCATATCCAACGCTTAGGGACGGTTGCATAACCGTGGGTTATGCAACGTATCCCAGACCATCTTACTCTTTATGCAAAGTACCACGGGACGCTTGATCTTACCAGATGTTCACTCATATATTGCTGGCAATTTTACTTGTCTAAACTTGAACTCTATCCCGAGTTCAAGCATGTGATATACTTGATGCACTCGATAACTCTCTAGACAGTAATATATTATATGAAAAACAAAAAAATTTAATATGTAAGAACTTTTAAGGGCTAATAACGCTAGAAATACCAACCTTTAGTTTTGGTATAATACTGAGAGTTGAGTTTTGTAATTATGTGAACTCAAATTCTAACCTTATATTGAACATGTACCGATATATATGCAACTATATTGTACTTTTTCAAGTAGCATATTTTACTTTTCCAAGTAGCTAGGGACCCAGTGACAAAGATAATTCAACCATGTTCCTTACACAAAATAGGACAGTTGGCAAGCAGCTTAGCTTCACTAATTCATACCCAGTTCACCACAAATCAACACAGATAACAAGCTAGCTTCCCACTTAGCCTACCCTTCTCTCATTTTCAGCTCCTTTCTTCTAAAATTGATCATCTTCAGAAAAGAGGATCCGCCATGGCTATTGGCTTGCCAACTAACATGGTGAAGAAAATCCTTCAAAGGTCCAGTTCTGGGACAAGCAAATCATCCTCGTCGAGCTTTACCAATCTGCCAAATGGCTACTTGGCGGTTTATGTTGGAGAGACGTCACATAACAGGAAGCGATTTTTAGTATCGCTGTCCTACTTGAGTCACCCTTCATTTCAGGATTTGTTGAGCATGGCTGAAGAGGAATTTGGTTTTGATCATCCAATGGGTGGTCTGACGATTCCCTGCAGTGAAGAGTCTTTCATTTCTGCTACTCCGAACTAGCTAGAATAGATGTTGTAAGGATAGATAGATTGTAGAAACCAATGTATTTAGAGTTTAACAACACGGTTGTGTTTAGCTAATATAGGTTAGGAGATGTAAATTGATGACTAGAGCTTCTCATTTTAAATTAGGAGTAGGGATGGCAATTTCGATCTGACCCGTTTTACCCGACCTGTTTGACCTATTTTGGGGCGGGGCGGGCATGGGTAATCTCATCGACCCGACCTGCCCTGACCCGCCCCATTCTCGACCCGTTCTTGTCTAAATTACAAGTAATCTTAGCCAAATTACTTAGAATTTTCCTTTTATTGCATCACATTTTAGCTATAATAAAGTTGTAAATTAGTGAAAACCTCAGTTTCTCCAATAATTTAACTACAATTGTCATAATATTGTATGTTTTCTTAGTCTTATAGTAAAAATAACGAATATTTCTAACGTTTTCATATAAATTGCATACCCATTGACCCGTGATCAATTACCCGACCTGGACCCGACCTGCCACGAGACGAGTCTGGGTACAAAGAAACCCGCCCCGGACCTGCCCATTGCCATTCCTAATTAGGAGTCCAAATGCTGGCATTTCTTTTTTATCGATCAATTCACATTAATGTTTTTTTTTCATACCAAGATACTGACACATGATCCAACTCTTATCTCGTTTGGATTAAATAGTGAACCATTTCCAAAATATTGAATATGGTTTGTGATTTAAATTAAGAAACGAACTTTGTTCACATTCCAAATTTTGTCTAATGACAAAAGGAAGGGTGTTTAGACAGTTGATTAAATCATTACTAACCATTAGATCAAGATTAATAGATCTAATGGTTAAAATATGGGAAGAGTTATTTAACTAGCGATAAGGACAATTATAGTATTAAGAAAAACTAATTTTTCTCTGATTTTATTTATTTTCTTTTTCCCTCTCCCACTCCTCACTCTCTAGTGTCCTGCCTCTTTTATTTTTTTACCAACCCACTCTTTTTTTTGTCTTATTTATATTCTAACTAGACAAAGATTATAAAGTAAAATCCCGAAGTTTACAAAGTAGAACAGAAAAGTATACAAACTACAAATACAAAGTATACAAATCATAGAATAAAAGTGTACAACCAATAATAGATCGTATACAAATCAAAATACAAAAGTGTACAAACCATATCATGAAATATACAAACTAATACTACAAAGTATACAAAACAGATAATGAAAATATACAAACTAATTAAACAAATTTTACAGTTTGATTCATGGTCGCATCGACAAATGTTTTCTCGCACCAATGCAATTTTATTATTTGTGGTGTGGGGTGGGGGGGGGGGAAATGCTTAGTAAAAATTGTGGTTGGGAATAAGTGATCCGGGCGAATAGGAACCGTCTACCAGTTGAGAAGTTAGACATTAAGAAGCTTTGAAAATTCAATGGTTAAGGTCTCCACATAGGAAACTGCATCCGATGCACATCTTGTTCTCTCTTCAACTATTTCTGATCTCTAGTGGGCCTCTCCATAGGATTCAAACCCAGATGAAGTTATGACCATCTTCTGGAGAGTTGGTGATGGGAGAACAATTCAGGTCTGGCTTGATAATTGGGTTCGAACCCAATTTTCCCCTCAGGATCATGCCAACCAAAAGTGGAATAATTCATAGTTGGAAAAGATATTTCGGGAAATTTTCAAACGAACAATTTCGACGAAATCTTTTAAAAAATCATTTTCTTATCTAGTTATCTTCGGGTCGTGAAAAAGATTCAACAAAAGGATATTCGCCGACGAATATTCACTCGTTCAATATTTACTTCATTTGTAGAGTTAATCCTCTTTCATTATTCTAAGTATTTATTTTATTTTGGGCAATAACGAAATTATTTTCTTAAGTACATGTTCGAGCATTATCCACCAGCTCCTTTCTTTTTTGCAAGCAAGTAGTGGCAACTTACTATGTTGCTTATTGTTATTTAAAAGGGGGCCTACCTACCATCTTGGGTGGCACCAGCGAGATTTAGTTTAGGTAAAGAACTTTGTGTCGCGGCTGGTCCACTCCACTACGGTCTTATGAAAACAAGGAATGAAATAGAACATGAATAAGCTGCCTAGTAGTAGGAGGAGACGGACTTTGATCACTTGCATGTTGAAGAATGAGTCGACTACTCATAGGAAGCGGCTTGGTTAAGGACAAATTTTATCAGCTGTAGCAAGAAAAGAAACTTTCTAGAAGAGAAAACATGAAGAGGAAATTGTGATGATTTAGCAATTGGACCAAAAAATAATAGTAGGGGTGCTAACGTATTTAGACCGAGCCGTATCTTGCTAGGTGGAACCGAGAGAAAGTTGAATAATGAATTTTTTTCTGTTTGCACTAAAATAACATATTAAAATAAAGATATGATTCAACTGCAAACCTGTTAGAATTATGAAGATATTGGATCGTCGTCTAATAGTCGCAACGGTTTGTTTGTTCGGTCGGTGAGCGGCCGGGACGGTTAACCGCTCGACCCGCTCAACGGGTTTTTTTACCTTTGTCTGTGTAATTAAAAAAAATTCAAAAATTCAAAAATTGAAAATTAAAAAACGTGAACGGCCGAAGGGGAGATCGTGGAGTGAGGAGGCGGAGCAGGGACAGTGGTGATTTCAGTAGGCAGACAGCTGCGACGGAGGAGAGAATCGCGGTAGCAATTGTGGACTGGTGATGGAGTTGGGAGCAGCGGAGTAGAAGGAATACAGAAGAAAGAAGAAGAAAGAAAAGGAAGGAGAAAGAAGAAAGAAAAAGAAAAAGAAGGAAATGGAAATGGGGCGGCCGGCCGCATGTAGGTTTTTTAGTGAATATATTTAATATGTAAAACTACTAAGTGGTACTTGAAAACTAAATTGTAGTTTAGTCATTAAATTATTACATTATTACCTTATGTGTTTTCTACTTATGATATTATTGTTTATAAGGTACCGGTTTTCTAACGGGGTTTTTACGGTTTAATACCGATTGGACCGCTAAAGTGCGAGCCGTTGACATTACGGGGTTATGCTCCGGTTCGGTTCTGACAACATTGGTCGTAACCAAACAACATGTTAAACCTCAACAACATGCAGGACGATAAAATAAAGCATAACAGAATACCAAATGAACCATCATATTCCTATTCCGGCTTATAAAATTGAGGCTAAAATTAGGAAGAATATTCAATAAACCACAAATTTCTTCTACGATTACTCCCCTCCCGCATTGTTACTTGTCGGCGCATACAACGATCACATACAATCTTAGCATCCCTAAAAATCACTTTACGAAGGTCACGGCGCGAGCATTCCACAATCGCCTTCTCTAGTGCCAAAGCTTTCTTTTTTCTTCAAATTTGTGCCAAAGCTTTCACTATCAATGTTGGTTATTGAACTTCTGCAGCAAAAAGGACAGAACCCATAGGCCACACAACTTCGAGCCGAGAAAATGACCCACTAAACTAAATCATAAGTTACCTAACAGAAAGCCCATAATGCGACCCACTAAAAATCGAATGCAACCAGGAAATCATCGCCAAAACTTGAAGGTGCTATAGGTTCCCAACGGGAAGGACTGGTCGGCCCTTCTCCCATCTCCTCTCTTGTTGTTGTTAATGTTAATTATATTATGTCATTCCTTTGTACGTGTATAGTCCAGCCCATGTAAACATTTAAAGCCCATGCAACCCTAGTGATCAACGTATAGGAGACTAGGGTTCGACCAATATATGTTGTGAGAGCAGCAACCAAAGGACTCAACGAAAACATATCAGTAAAATCAGTAGTCGAAGAGTGTTCAACCTCTTCCGTGGATTAGTCCCGGAATTTCAGGGATACCACGTAAATCCGAGTCTCAATCTGTTTTGATTTCATTTTCGTGACTGATTAACATGGTATCAGAGCCAACTCAAATAGAGTAAGAGAAGCCATCAGTTCGTCTCACGTTTGTCAATTATGCACTGTGGGAATTCCAATTCAGAGTTTTTGTCGAAGGTTGAGGGATGCTAGGCATCCTCGATGGATCTTTTCCTCGCCTACATCCAGTGCTGCTACTGCTCTTGAAATCGCAACCCGGAACCAGAATGATGCTCGAATACGATCCTGGCTGTTGGGTTCAGTGGATTCATCTACATGTCTCAGTCTTCGTATTTTCCCGATCGCTAACAAGACCAGGCGTCATCTCGCATCAACCTATTTACCGTCAACGCCGCACGCCAATTCGAGATTCAGCTATCACTCGCGCGTCTCGAACAAGGGGATCAGACGGTCACCTATTACTTTAATCGGGCACAAGAACTATGGACTGAAGAAGATCTCATTCAAGTGGCACTACGTCCGCAAGCTGCAATGACGGTAGATGTCGTGATCGAACGACAACGGACGTGTTTGCTTCAATTTTCATGCGCCTCAGGCCAGAATTTGAGAATGTCCGGGTTACGTTGCTAAATCGAGACGATTTGCGTTTCGATGGTGTACTGGGTCAGCTAGTCCGGGAAGAGACACATTTGCGCACACAGGCGCAAATTGATCTTCGACCAGGAGAAGGCGAAACTCTCCTTGCTGGTGTCGTCTCTCAACATGAGCGAGGTAGTAGTTCTGGATCTCATGCATTTGTTGTTGATAGACCTCAATTTCAAAGAAGAATTCCCAACACCGAATTAGAGTGTCATCATTGTCGGGAAAAGGGTCATGTACAGAAGCACTGCAAACGTCGAAATTTATGTGTTTACTATAAAAGAATGGGTCATATCATATTAGAGTGTCGTACTCGGGGGAGGAATAAAGCTAAATACGGACCTCCTCCTGCTCGATCTGGGAATGCTGATCGTCCAATCTTAGGAGGCCAAGGATATAATGGAGAACAACAAGCTTATGGGGTTGTTTCTACAGAGACCCGAGGCTGGACAGATGACCATGAACGTCCTGTACCTGCTGCTTCTAGAGAAACAAGAGGTTCGGGGATAACTGCTTCCACCTTCGAGGAACTCATGAATGATGCGTTACA